CACTTGATTGTGGCAAACAATCTCGTCAATGTGTTGTTGGATTTGGTTCACTAGTATTCTGTTGAGGATTTTTTTTTGCATCTGTGTTAATTAGAGATATTGCTCAATAGTTTTCTTTTTTTGTTGGTCCTTTTTTGGTTTTGATATGAGGGCAATGTTGGCCTCATAGAATGAGTTTGGAGTATTCCCTTCTCTTCAATTTTTTGCAAAGTTTGAGCAGAATTGGCATTAGTTTTTCTTTAAATATTTGGTACAATTAGATAGTGAAGATGTCTGGTCCAGGACTTTTCTTTGTTGGGACACTTTTTATTACTGCTTCAATCTCATTACTTGTCATTTTTCTATTTAAATTTTCTAATTCTTCATGATTCAACCTTGATAAGTTCTATGTGTCCAGAAATTTATCCACTGTTTCTAGGTTTTCCAGTTTGTTAGCATACAGTTGTTAATTGTAATCTCTTATGATCCTCTGTATTTCTGTAGAATTAGTTGTATTATCTTCTTTTTTGTTTCTGACTTTGTCTTTTTTTTTTTCTTGGTTAGTTTAGCTTAAGGTCTATCAATTTTGTTTATCAATTGGAAAAGCGAACTCTTTGTTTCATTGACCTTTTGCATTTAAAAAATATATCTAATTCATTTATTTCTTCTCTGATCTTTATTATTTCTCTCTTTCTACTAATTTTGTATTTGATTTGTTCTTATTTTTCTTGTTCCTTGAGGTGTGACATTAGGTTGTTTATTGGAAGGTTTATACTTCAGAATTTGTTTATCTTTTACATTTTTATTGTGATAAAATATATACAACTTAAAATTTACCATTTAAACTTTTTTAAGTGTATAATTCTGTGACATTAATTGAACTAAAATTCTTCTTCAAATATCACCATCATTTTTAGATGCAGGCACTTAGTGCTATAAACTTCCCTCTTTGAACTGTTTTTCTATATCCCATAGATTCTGGTATGTTGTGTTTTCATTTTCAGTTGGCTCCAGGAATTTTTAAATTTCATTTTAAATTTCTTCTTTGACCCATTCATTGCTTAGAAGCATGCTGTTTAATTTCCATGTACTTGAATGTTTTCCAATGTTTCTTCTGTTATTGATTTCTAGTTTTTTTTCCATTGTGGTCTGAGAAGATAGTTGATGTAATTTCAAATTTGTTGAATTGTTGAGGCTTGTTTTATGGTCTAGCTTATGGTCTATTTTTGAGAATGTTTTATGTGCCACTGAGAGGAATATGTGTTCTACAGCCATTGGATGGAATGTTCTATAAATGTTTGTTACGTCCAACTGGTCTGCAGTGGAGATAAACTGATGTGCCCTGGTTAATTTTCTGCTTGGATGATCTCTTCATTGCTGAACGTGGAGTGTTGAAATCCCTGACTATTACTGTGTTTCAGTCTCTCTCTCTCTTGTTAGGTTGAGACCCATTTTGTAAATCATATCTCTATGCACACACACACACACATTGGGAGAGTTATATGTCTAAAATAATTATTATAAAAGGAGACTAATCATCATCGAATTAGATAGTGAAGATGTCTGGTCCAGGACTTTTCTTTGTTGGGACACTTTTTATTACTGCTTCAATCTCATTACATGTCATTTTTCTATTTAAATTTTCTAATTCTTCATGATTCAACCTTGATAAGTTCTATGTGTCCAGAAATTTATCCACTGTTTCTAGGTTTTCCAGTTTGTTAGCATACAGTTGTTCATTGTAATCACTTATGATCCTCTGTATTTCTGTAGAATTAGTTGTATTATCTTCTTTTTTGTTTCTGACTTTGTCTTTTTTTTTTTTCTTGGTTAGTTTAGCTTAAGGTCTATCAATTTTGTTTATCAATTAGAAAAGCGAACTCTTTGCTTCATTGACCTTTTGCATTTGAAAAATATATCTAATTCATTTATTTCTTCTCTGATCTTTATTATTTCTCTCTTTCTACTAATTTTATTTTTGGTTTGTTCTTACTTTTCTTGTTCCTTGAGGTGTGACATTAGGTTGTTTATTGGAAAGTTTATACTTCAGAATTTGTTTATCTTTTACATTTTTATTGTGATAAAATATATACAACTTAAAATTTACCATTTAAACTTTTTTAAGTGTATAATTCTGTGACATTAATTGCACTAAAATTCTTCTGCAAATATCACCATCATTTTTAGATGCAGGCACTTAGTGCTATAAACTTCCCTCTTCAAACTGTTTTTCTATATCCCATAGATTCTGGTATGTTGTGTTTTCATTTTCAGTTGGCTCCAGGAATTTTTAAATTTCATTTTAAATTTCTTCTTTGACCCATTCATTGCTTAGAAGCATGCTGTTTAATTTCCATGTACTTGAATGTTTTCCAATGTTTCTTCTGTTACTGATTTCTAGTTTTTTTCCATTGTGGTCTGAGAAGATAGTTGATATAATTTCAAATTTGTTGAATTGTTGAGGCTTGTTTTATGGCCTAGCTTATGGTCTATTTTTGAGAATGTTTTATGTGCCACTGAGAGGAATATGTGTTCTACAGCCATTGGATGGAATGTTCTATAAATGTTTGTTACGTCCAATTGGTCTGCAGTGGAGATAAACTGATGTGCCCTGGTTAATTTTCTGCTTGGATGATCTCTTCATTGCTGAATGTGGAGTGTTGAAATCCCTGACTATTACTGTGTTTCAGTCTCTCTCTCTCTTGTTAGGTTGAGACCCATTTTGTAAATCATATCTCTATGGTCCTAAAGTCTTGGTTCATCATTTTCTGGGCCTCCATACTTCAAATTCTACTGAAGAAGAGGCTGACCTTTTGTACAGGCACAGAGATTCCACATTTCTTCAATGACCAGGCTCAGATTCTCAAGGTGGCCCACTCTGATACCCTCATTAATAACATCTTCTCGTATGTTGCAGCTGCACTGCTGTGGGTGTTTCCTGTCATTGGGATCCTCTTCTCTTACTATCATATAGTCTCCTCCTTAATACAGATGTTCTCCACTGCAGGCAAGTATAAAGCATTTTCCACCTATAGGTCTCACCTCTCTATGGTCTCCTTGTACTATGGGATAAGCCTTGGGGATTACGTCAGTTCTGTTTTGACCCAATCTTCTCAGAGAAGCTTAATAACCTCAGTGATGTACACTGTGGTCACCCTCATGGTGAACCCCTTCATCTACAACCTGAGGAACAAGGTTGTGATGGGAGCCCTGGGAAGACTCTTTAGCAGAGCAGCCTCTTGTTCATGAAGCATCATCGCGTTCCTTTTTTTCTTCTATTTTTTTTATTTTTCTATTTTTAATTTTTTAAATTAAATTAAATTTTATTTTACTTCTCAAAATACTTTGTACTCGACTTTCATGCCCCTTTACCTGTTCCTCTCCATCCCCCCACCTTCATCGTATCT